AGGTGGGATCCTATGTTTCTGAATCATATACAGTGTTGTGAGCCAATATCATTTTTGTCTATACATATATGTACATATATATGTATTTCTACACACACACACACACACACACAGAGACACATTTATATAAAAGAAATGTGATCTGGGTTTACCGCGTTAATAATCAAGGTTCAACAGGGCTGTATTTCTTCTGGGGCGTGCAGAGAAGATTCAGTTTCTTTGCTTTTTTCAGCTTCTAGTGACTGCCCAAGTTTGTGGCTCCCTCTTCCATTTTCAAAGCCAGCAATGTTGTAACTGACCATTTTTTCTTAGTCAAACCTCCCTTTGTGATCATAAATGAAATGTTCTTTGATTTTTAAGGATGTAGGTTATTTTTGGGCCTGCTTTGATAATCCAGAAAACTCTCTCAGTCAGTAATTTAATTTTGTACCTGTATGTGAATACCACTTGTTATGTTAAGTAAGGTATTTTCAGTACTTGGGATTAGAACAGGGGTTTGGGAACGCATTATTCTGCACACCAAAAACAACGAGTAGAATTCTTCAGCAATTTTTATAGGGAGGCGAGAAAAAGGATATAGCTTGAAGTATTTGAAGTTGGGGAGGATTTTTAAAGGAAGAGATAGGAAGGGAGCAGGCAGACTGTATACTACAAGGATGGTATTCTTCTGAGACTTATGGCAGATAAAAGTGGCTTATTTTAATGGGATGGTTACAGGTTAAGTTTCCATAATCAGAAACTTGATGACCTGTTAGATGATGATGAGATGATTTGGGATTAATGAAGCTTGTGTAGAAACAACTACATCTTTATGAATTTCATTCTTGCTAAAATAATCATAAATCCATTGACTTAGTTTGCTATGTCATAAGCAAACTTAAAAATTAAAGTTTGACTTTAGAAATAAAGTATTGTTATAGAGCAATCCCGATATTAAACGGGTTCCTGGCTGTGGGTCCTCACCCGCGCGCTTTAAAGGGACTTATGAATACTCTACTACAGACACACGCAAAAGGGTTAATGAAAGGTTTATTTACAAGAGAAAAAGAAATAAGGAAAATGTACAACTCAGGGAGAAAATAGGGAAATAAAGTCTTTAATGCGTCCTACCCGATCCGACGACCTGAAAACCCCAAAGTCACTCTCAGAGCTAGACGGACGCCGCAAGCTGGCCGAGGGCCCCAAAATGGAGAGAGCCCCCAAAGCCCACGTGTCTGCCTTTTGTATCCACCTGGCTGCTTAACCCCACCCTCAGGTCCCAGCCACCTTCCCTTTGGTGGTGATGGGATTTGGAGTTCCCAGTGTCTTTGGCTTTGACCTGGGGTGGGGGTGGAGTCCACAAAGCCTGTATGGAATTTGCTTTGGGACTGCCTTTTCCCCCTAACAGTATGGCTTATGACTTTATAAAACTAAACTATGTAGTATTTTCTTCTGTTAGGCGATACACATAAAATCCTTGTACCAGTATGGTGTAATTAATTATTTGCTACAGCATAGCCTGTGCTTGTTATGACCAAATTGCTACCAAAGTTAAGTGGAAATAATTGAGGGTTTAAGCATAAACTATAACCTAAATTAGTAGCTGTTGTTAGAATTATTTGTCAAATACTCTTCTTTTGTATTAATGTAGTTTTACTGTGTCTATAATAGTTTATACTAGTATAATCTATGGTCATCCAGACTAGTAAAGGAAAGGTCAGAATCAATTTTACTTGTAAAAAAAGAGCAGTTTAACTCATAAAATTCTCTATTTAACAAAAAAAGCCATGAAATCTAGCAGTCTTCCGTTTTTGTTTGTTTGGTTTTTAGTGCTCACATTTAATCAGTTACGTTATGTGGGCAAATACTAATACTGAATTGTCAGGGAGACCAAAATGACCTCTACCTGAAATATGTTGAGGGGAGCTCTCTTCTTGCACAGAGGCAGGCTCAGCTGTTTGTCCTTTAGCTTAGGAGTTCTCCTCACCCTGCCTGGTAAAACTCCTTCTCTGGACATGACCAAAGAAAGAAAAATCTGTGCACTGTGCTTTTTTAATTGTATGGGCATAGATGCTAACTTCATCAAGTTCATGTGCCTGAAATAAATTTAATGACTGAGCTAGTTTACAACGCAGCCTCTTCACCCTACCTTCTTTCTCTCATCTCTTTTTTATTGGATGCTTCAACCTCATTAGGTATTTCAGGAAAAAAACTGGATCCGGTCCATCATTTTGGTTGTTACTTTCCTTTTCCTGGCAAATAGAGCTTAAAGTTTCAATAGAGGAAGTGGGGAGGGACCCAACACATTCAGAGTTTATGAAAGGCCTTATTTACCATCAAAGTGAAGGTTTCCAGATACTTCAGCCCTGTTTTCTTATGCTCTTAAGTCTTTGATGAGGAATTAAGAGCTCCAGCCTGGGCTGCAGAAGACACTGAGAGATGCCTGGCAGGAGGAACTACTTGGCGTCCTGAAGCTGTTCATTAATTATAAATGATATTGAGGAGTAGATGGAGGAGCAGAAGAGTGGGCAGAATCTATTAATATCATAATAATTTCTACATGACATTTCTGAGAGGTTTCTGAATCTGCACAATTAAAATAAATTTTTTTCTTGTTAGTTTCCTTTGCACATTTTTTTTTCTTTTGCAAAGCATTCATTGCAATTTGCCTTTCAATAGAGCTTCTTAGACTTGTGATGCTTGATTCTACTCAAATGTAAATTCAGAATGTTGGCTCCCAAATGTTTAGGTGCCTTAACACTAATTTGAGGACCTTGTCAAAAAAGTTTAGGATTTACATCTCTGAGGTTCTCATTCAATAAGTGGAGGATGGGTCCCTGGAAGCACTTTTTAATAAGATTTCGTTGTGGGGTGGGGGGTGTAATGTGACCCACCTTGAGAACTATTGGCCTAGGGATCAGGGTCTCAGTGGTTTTCAGGCCCTAGCACTGAGCTATCTATAAATTAGTCCTCAGGACTTGTTGTGGAATTGGGGCTTTTGCTTTGGGTGGGCCAAATGCCCATCATTGAATCATTGGTGATTCAAGTTCAATATATTGCTCTCAGAGGTGAGTTTGAGGCTCTCAATGAACTATAGGTTCATTTTTTTTTTTTTTGATAGACAGAAATTGCGTATGCAATTCCCCAGTTGGGAACAAATGGTAAGACAAATATTTATCTAGGACAGCACCTGGTGGAAAGTATGATTTATTTACCTACTTTTTACATTGCAGAAGGGAGCAGAACTAAGAAGGAGGAAATGCATTCATTCATTCCTTGCTTCCTGTGGTACATTGTGTAAAAGTTCATTCCTTTTTGATTCTTCTACTTATTCCTTTATATGTTTCCTATGTCTTTCCATTTGTTTCTTTTGTTTTTTGTTTACTCGGGGCTGTGAGGTCTGCTCTTTAATGTGCCTTGCCCTTTGTTCTTTTGCCACAGGGTGTGAAACAATTTACTTATTGGTCTTTTGTTAGTTTTAGATAGCTGCTGACAAAAGAGAGTGAAAAATTGTATCTTGTCCATCAGCTACTCACATATCTTTTAGAAACTTCCCATAAGAAAAAGTATGGTCCCTTTTACTCTTATCATAGAAGGTTTTAGTGATTCATCATAAATCATGCTTTGAAACTACATCATCTGGAAAACTGATAATTATTTTAATGTAAATAATGTAGAAAGCATTTTTAATTTTTAAAGTTTTGCTAATGCTTTCAACTGTTGGAACAAATTAACATGCTATTTTCATACATCAAACCCATTTCACTTCAGTTACTTTTTTTTTTAAGATTTTTTTATTTACTTATTTATACAAGCACTGGGCACAGTCAGAAGTGCAGGAGGGTGAGAGAATTCACCGGAGTCAGAGCGGAGAGCAGAGCAGGCAGACTGACGAAGTACGCTGCTGAGGGGAGCAGCGGGCAGCAGGGGAGGTCTATGCTTCATGTGGGACCCTCGCAGGAGGCGGGGGATCCAACCGGCGCTGCAGAGGCTGCGGGCAGCTTCGCAACCCAGCGCTCAACTGCTGAGCCACCGGGGAGGCCCCCTTCAGTTACTTTTAATATCTTTGGTTTATGTTTGTTAAAATTTTTCTCAGGAAAAAAAAGACTCTGAAATATACATGAATAACATATATGCAACTATACACACACACACCCCACCCCCGATTCTTTAGCTTGTTGGTTAAATTAATTGGAAATATTCAGTGCTCATTAGGTCCCGTCTCTTGTTTTCAAGTAAGAAATAACAATAAACATAAACATAAAATCATGACGTCTTTTCTTTCTCCATTTTCAAGTCCTAAGAATATCTAACCTATATATCTACACCTGCATTTACGCATATCTTTTGATGAACACACAATAAAAACTTTGTCTTTTCAAATAATGGTAGTGTCTTCAATTATAGCAGTTCTTAGGACCAAAACTGGCACAAATATTCTTGCCATTGTTTGAATTTACATATTATCTGGATGTTGGGGGAAAAAAGTTGTAGACATGCAAAGGGTCTTCCACCAAAACAGCACAGTGCAATGGTGATGCTTATTGTATCTGGAGTTTATTGTATGAACCAGGGCTGTCACTTTCCCATAGTGTCTCATTTATTATGCTAATTAACTTTTCGAGTGCAGGCAGGGGAGGATAGGCCCTGTGAAATATTCTCGGTTGGGGGATTTTAAAAGCAAACCTACTTTGTGTGTGAATAAAACCCCAAATCAATGTGTTTCTTTTCAAAGACAGGAGGGTCAATACCATGGTTGTTTTTGTTCCCATCCAGTTATGTAACCGTGGGGACTTGTTTCTTTGCTTTCAGGATTTGTACAAAACACATTAAAACTAAACAATAGGTGGGAATCATAGGAGCAAACATCGCCTGTGTCTTGGAGTAAGTCCTATTAGGTTTGGGAATCTCCAATTAGTTCCATCTCAGGCGCTGTCGTGTGTGTGTGTGTGTGTGTGTGTGTGTGTGTGTGTGTGTGTGCGCGCGCGCGCGTGCGTGCGTGTGTGTGTGTGTGTGTGTTTGGTTAGCTGGCACGCAACACACTTCCCCAGGGCTGTGTTTCCTTTTTCCTGAGATTTGGCGAAGGGTAAAGGGTCGGAGTCACATGGATACAAAGCATTTGATTAATGTCCAAGTCACCGCTGTGGCTGCCGGAGCCGCCTTCCCTCCAGCCCCGGCAGAGTGAGGCCAGGGCAGCGGGGCGGGACGCGCAGGTCCCGGGCCGTAGACCAATCTCTCGGGACTTTGCTCCGCTGATCCCCGCGCCTCCTGCGCTGGAGTTCCCGAGGGTGCTGCCCGCCCAGCCTCTCCCCAGCATGTAAAGTGCCCCGTCCCTGCTCGGACTTTGCGGAGGCAGCAACTTTCCTTCCTCGCGCCCGCGCCGGGGCAGCAGCGGGAGCGCGTAGCGCGGCCTGCCAGCCCCGCATCCCGCCGCCACCATGAGCGACGAGAGCGCCAAGGACCTGGAGAAACAGCTCCGCCTGCGCGTGTGCGTGCTCAGCGAGCTCCAGAAGACCGAGCGGGACTATGTGGGCACGCTCGAGTTCCTGGTGTCGGTGAGTGTCCCCGCCCGGCGACGCCGGGAGCGGCGGAGCTGCGCGGGGCGCGGGGCGCAGGGCGCGGGCGGGCGCGGGCGGGCGCGGGAAGCGCGCGCGGCATTGTCTGTGCGGGGACCGGAGAATCGGCTCTGGCGTAGCCGGCACCCGAATGCGCGCGAGTTGACCCCCGCGGTGATTTTTCCGTGCCTTGGGACGAACTGAGTCGCCACGGTCTTGGGGAGCTGTGTTGGAAAAGTTGGCTCGAATGGGAGGCTGTAGTCCAGGGAATCCCTCCTGCACCATCTTTCCTCACTTTTCTTTACCCACCTCCCCAGCCCGCTGCATTGCTTTGTCTAATTTACCCCCTTCTCTTCCTCCCCGGGGATTTTGTTTTGAGCTTTGACTTGAAGTCAGTCTGCTCTCTCGGGTACATTGGGTTAATTTTGTTTGTTTGTTTGTTTCCTTGATTCTTCTGGAGCTTGAGCTCATTATTCAAATTACATGGCAGTGATGTCTTTTTAGTTATAATAATCTATGAAACAGGATTCTGGTGGAGGGTACAGAAAGAGCAGCGGGGTTATGATCTCTAGCAGCTGTTGGATATTAAAGCCACATGTGGAGCTCACTCCATCCTAGTCCTGCAGTCTCCTTCCTTACCCCCTGGTTTAAATATGTCCCCAGCTCAGATCCTGGATCCCCTGCTCAGCTTGAGAACGGTATAAGAAGACTCTTGTCAAACAATCTCAAGATTTCCCAGAACTGGCAGGAACTTTGTTTCAGATTGACCCGCTGGAAATCTGCATTGATAACGTTTCATTCATTTTAGGGCCAGCAGGGGTAAAATTGAGTGAAGGAAACTGAAATATCATTCAAAAGTGGAATTCGAGTCAGCACAGGCGAAGAGTTTGAGATTGGCTCTTCTCCACCCAGATGACCTGGAGAGAGCATCACTTAAAGACTGAGTTGCTGTAGTCTTTGCAATCTCAATCAAGACTCTAATCTCCTTCCACCCCCGCGATGCATACATACCCCCTTGGTCTGAAGGGAAATGTTTCAGAGGTCAAACTTCCTGCTCAGTTTTCTGAAAGATATAAATTTTCTGCTTATAATAATGAGAGAGGAAATTCACTTCTTGGTTATAGCAAGAAGGAAAGAAATGTCTGAAAGGATACACAGGTTGGCTTTTGGTTGACTTCTCAAATTATAATCAGTGTTCTTGAACTCCAGGGACCATATGCTTTGAAGGTAAAGGGATATTTGAGAGCATACCAGTAATTGGTGACAAATAGAATTGTTGTACACTTCCCATGCAGCAGTGTAAAAAAAAAAAAATCGTTTCTAAGGAGATTTGACTTTCAATAGCTTCAAATTTGGCTGTCACCAAACTTTGTTGGTGACAGAGTTCTTTGACTTTTGCAGAATCTGAGTCATTTCTTAAATTGCATTAGTTACTCCTTTCTGGTGATATATATATATAAAAGTACTGTGTAGAGTGCTAATTCAGAGGTTAACCTAATTTACTTTAAAACACACTTTGTGGATCTTATTTAAAGCACTAGTTTTTTTTATTACCATATAAAGTTAGGTAAGAAATTATGGCAGGTATAAAATAGTTTTCCCTGTTTATAAGTAAATCATTTTATGATTTCATTCTTCTTATTTTATTCAGAAATTTCTTCTACTTTTCCTTTTTTACACCACTATTTGTGTACACATATGTTCATACACACCCAAAGGCACTAATTTGTCTGGATGTCATCCTAGACAAAATTTTACCCTGACTTCTTTTCAATGTTACAACCATTCAAAGTAAAAAATCTACCTATAAATACATAATTAGTTTTTTTTTATTTTTGATATTTTGTTGGAGCAACATTTAATCCCCATGTATTTTACTTGGTCACTTTCAATGGATGCCATCAATCCACTTTTAATATTGGCCTAAGTTGTTTTGTAGCAAAAGCTTTAAATATATTTAAGCTGTTTGGCCTGGCAATTCTTCTTCTAGGAGTTCATCCTAAGGGAACAATCGGAAATGAAGACAAACAATAAAAGTTATTTTTAAAAAATAAAGTATAGCATTCAATGAGTGATAAATTTCCTGAAAAAATTTGATAGTGCATTCTAAGTCAAATTTAAATATTTGTTATATTAGTCATTGTTTTAGTTTTCTGTCATGCTTCAAACTATTAACATGGATGAACGATAATTCTTATCTTAATTAGGAAGAGGCGGAAGAGATAGAAAACATATTTTTAGTTTTACCAAAAACATGTTTTTACTTACAGACCCATAAATACTCAAAAAAAAAAAAAAGGTATTATTTCCTCTGATTAAATTGTCACATGACTTAACTAAGATCTTTTATACTTTGGATTCCTTTTTGTCCTTATTTCAAGCCTTTGGCCTTAGAAGCAGAATGTACCCTTCCTCACCCCATATTGCCCCTTTTCTCTCTACCATAGCATATCAATCTTGTGCACCTTCATTCTAGTTGTAACAAACTGCTACCCTTTTTTTTTTTTTTTTTTTTTTTTTTTTTTTTTTTTTTTTTTTTTTTTTTTAAATAGAGGCATGCTTTATTTATTTATTTGTTTGTTTGTTTTGTTTATACATGCACTGGGTACAGTCAGAAGCGCGGGAGGGTGAGAGAATTCACCAGAGCCAGAGCAGGGAGCAGAGCAGGCAGAAGGACCGAAGTACACTGCTGAGGGGAGCAGCGGGCGGCAGGAGAGGTCTGCACGCCATGTGGGACCCTCCTCTGGTGGCCGGGGAGCAGCCGGGGATCGAACCGGCGCCGCAGAGGCTGCGGGCAGCTTCGCAACCCAGCGCCTAACCGCTGTGCCACCGGGGAGGCCCAAACTGCTACCCTTTAAACTTGTTGCAGTCATTTAGGATGGGTTGGTTGTCGCATGGGGTGCCATGCCTTTTCAGACCTCTTTGTCACTCCTCCCTACCCCTTATCTTCCTGTGCATTCCTACTGGGCTTTCAAAGCTCAGTTCATGTCCTTCAGGAGACCTTTCATGAACCCTTGCCCTCCTTCACTCACCCCAGGCCAGAGCACTCACTGCTTTGTACCCAGTGGTTCCTGTAGTTACTTCCTTAGAGCCAAAGGTAGCTTAGACATTTGTTTATACTTGTCTCATTCTATTAGACTGTAAGCTCCTTGAGGTCAGGGGCACAGTTTCCTCAACTGTCTGTTCATCAGTGAATGAATGAATGAATGAGTATATTGATCCACCCTTTAACATCCCATTCCATTTTTAAAGACACTTTGTAATCATCCTTAAGAATTCTGTTTTTGTTTTTCTTGGATTTTTTCTGTATGGATAGTAGGCAATTAAGTTTCACCCAGGTAGAAATTAACTTAAGTTTTGCTGAAGCACCCATAAATTTATGTAGCAAACATTTTAAATTAAGTGTATAGTACCGACATTTAAAACAGAAACATATTTTAAATTAAGACTTGTGGCATTAAAGATTTTGTAGCAAATGTTTCAATTCATTGTATTTTAAATTTCATTTGCTATTATGAATAGGATTATCTCATATCTGGATTAATTATTTTTAGGTTAGAAAAAAATGGCAGAGAGTGACAGAATTTGATTGAACTTATGTTCTTATTTTGCTTGGGAAGTGAAAATCTGTGGTTTATTAGAAATGCTGTAAATCATTTCTTATACAGAATTATTCTGTGCACCTAACATCCAGTATTTATTGTCTAAAGTCTGCACAATAGTAGATGGTAACTGGTTTCCTGTTTGCAACCCAGTCACAGGGCTTGGCAAGATCACCATGATTTCACAAAACCCATTTGAGTGCCTGGAGAAAGGGCAGATCAGGGTGGGCTTCCTGGGTGAGCATCCTGTGCAGTCACATATGGCTTTTTACTCACAAGGACCTCCAGCTTGGTTTAATGCTCTGCTATGACTGTCTTGAAATTTCTGCTGATTTTATGTTCGGGCTTGTGTGGAGTACAATGGGATAATTGAGTATAAGTAAAGCAGATAAATTTAAGGAAAAAGCTTTATAATTAAGTACCTTTGATAGCACTTTTCCCCCTGCTTTTTTGAACAAAAGGCTTCCCATTTTCGTTTTGCAACAGGCCTGGTAAGTTGATTGTTTCAGTGTGGCAAGTGGCACTGAGGCAGGATGACCGTCTACTTTTTTGGACTAAACTGGGATATCTCTGAGAAGGAAAGGAAAAGCTCTTTGTAATCACACTGGGGAACAGGTATAAACTGTGAGTGGTCTGGATGAATCAGGAAACATGGTTATTTCAAATAAATGTGTAGGCACATTAAGACAAAATCTTTGAGCTGCAAGTCTTATCTTAAAAAAATTTGAAATTGTTACCTGTCCAGGCTAGTCCTGTCTCTAATCTACTCTGCAAATTTGGACCCTTTCTTAAACATTTCAAGCCCTATTTTCTTCATCTGTAAAGTGGGAGAACAGTGTCATTTCTCAGGATTTCTGGAAGGATGAGAAGATGTATGCATTGGGCTCAGCTTGGTGTCAGACTCTCAGCAGGACCCTGTAGGTACTGCTTTTTCCTTTGATGCCACAGTTGTTAACACAGAGTCACACACATTGTTGATAACTAGTATATAATTTTTGTCTTGCTTATAGTTTCCTTTACCCTTTTGCTATTTGAGTCTCTTCTTTGCTTTCACCCCATGACTGCCAGGGCAGCTCTTCCCGTGGTATTCCTATAATGTTCAGTAGACTTCAAGAGAGTGAGAAAACTGAATTGTATGTTGCGGCAACTATCATTCCTATGACACTCTACAGTTTGCAATAACAGTTGCATATTCAGTATCTGATTTGGCTTAATTTGAGTCTTGGCTCTTTAAATGATGCTCCTTGGATCTCCAAAGTTCTGCAATTTAGCCTCAGGGTCCTCACAGGGGTGAGAGGAAGCTGAATTGAGGGAGCTCTCCATCCTGGCTTCTCATAGAATAGCCCAGCCTTCTGATTAGAGTTTTCCTAAAGCTGTTAGGAAAACAACTTATCTAGA